CTTTCCTCCATGATCCCAACACAAAACAAATAAAAAGTCAAAGACTGCCAAAGGGATAATTTGAGAGAAAAGAGACACAAACTGGCTTTTAAAGAGCAAGGCACCAGAAAGACTCCATCATCTGTAATTAATAACAAAGAGCCTTTTGAAAAAATTAATGGCCGAAGATAACCTAAAGTGGATGTGGGTCGCATTAATTTTGTTTCCATCAACAACCTGTACCACTGGCAAAAACGGATAACTAATTAACATTTCAGCCTTGTATACAAAATCTATCACAAAATGCAATGACATTTTCCTCAAGTACTAAAACCAAGACTAAAACGTCTGTTGAACAAAGGTGCGCTCACTTCAAGCACTCACTGTACAAAGGCTATAATAGTATGTAGTATGTATGCTAATGTTAAAGCCTAGTGGTTGCAGAAACATGCTATTGAACTCCTTGTTGTATTGCATTGCCAACCTTTTTGACTACAGTGGCATTACTTTTGTGATAAAATATTTAACATACTTAACATTTAAAATATCTCCAGGCAGATTTTTTTTTTTTTTTTAGGTTTTTCTTATTAGGCTAATGTAATACTAGCTACTAGTCACTGAAATGATCTTACATTTATCATTATTGGCTTTCTTTATTCACAGAGCCTTTAGCACCAGGTCTGCAAACAATACAATTAAAATACAATAAAAAAAAATTATATCATTAACCCATGTTCAACAATAAGAGTTTATGGACATTGAGAGACCACAAGCTTTCTCTAAACACCATAATGCTCATAAAGACAGCGACAGAGCGAGAAATGCCCTTGTGTTAATGGAAATAACAGCACTTCCATCTCCAGGATGGAATACAGACAATTACACCTCTGTTTCTTAGTATTACTCACATATAAACCTGAATATGTGCTGTTCTAAAGGTCAGAGTGGAAAAACTACAACAGTTACTTGTTTAAAAATAAGCACAGAAAACTGGCAAAGACTGATGGAAGTATGAGTGTACCTATACAGAATCATGAATATTGCTTTTGGACATGGCATATGAGTGCTTGGTCAGCTTATCCTTTAAAATGTGGGCACACTTTCTTTACCAGAGAGTGCAGTGAACTAACCAAATCATTAACATTGTTTTATTAATTTAACAAATAAAAATTTGTGAATTTACAGCATGATAAAGTAGTCTATATTCCCTGTACACATTACAATTTCATGACCTTAATTTAGTATGTCATAGGTTCAAGTTTTGCAAACAAGTATCTGTTGGCAAACAATTAAAAAAGATAAAATGTAAATTAATAGAACATGCTGGATCAAGTACTATTTTAAGTTGTTGTATAACAGGGGTTTAAAGCCCAACTGTTAAATTAAACCAGATTCTCAGTGATTAATGTGATAATTACAACTTGGCCTATTCATGAAGCAATATATTGGCAAAATACCATACACCTATTTAATGTTTATTTCAATGCTTATCATTAATATATGATCGTATAAGTCTTTATTTATTTTTTAAACTGTTTTTTTTTTACTTTTTTGTTACATACTATTGCATTTAACAGCAAAGAAAAAATGTAATCTGTTTCTTCAGTCCTCATTTTCTATTTTTTCAGTGTAGATCCCATCTCTGAGACCTCTACTAAAGAAAAATCTGGCAAACTTAGTGGTGTGAGCTACATGCAGGTCATTTGCATAATCTGAATGAGCTGTCCAGAAAATCAACTGGCATAACCTAACTCTGAATAAGCGTAACTTTCTCCATGTAAACTTTGATGCAACATCTGAACTTAGTTTATTGTTGAATCTGAATATGACCCTTAGTCTGTAGATGGGGCAAGTTGGTACAAAGTTTCACTTCATCTCACCCACAAAATTACTGGGTTAAAGGATTTTGTAGAGCCTTAGTGTATCTGACTGCGTTCCAGAGGCACCATTAGGTCCCTTCAGCTCAGCGATGACAGATTTAAGACACAGTTGACAGTACAACCCTAGTATCATACAGACAAAGATAGTCTTGACATTTTGACCTCCAGTGATAATTACAAAAATATTAAATGACAAATAGTAAGAATTTACCAACTTCAAGTAGAGCTAAGCACTGGTGCCGTCCTCGGATATTTGGCCTGAGTCATATGTGTTACATCCCTGGATGTATTTTGGTTTTCTGGGTGTGTCTCTCCCTCTCTCCCTCTCGCTTTATTATGTGTTTAGGACATCCCAGAGGACAGTCAGATATAACGCAGGGTTGGTAGATCGGGAACGATATCATCACATTAGAAGAACATAAAAAGGAAACTGCCAGTGATGTTCGAGCATGTCGCGTCAGTCCCAGTTTACAACCAACTGTTTTGTATATTCCAGCTTTATATTAGTTTCATGCTGTCTTGATTCTTGGCCATTCTGTGCCATTCTTTGAATTTTGTATACAGCATTACGCCAGCTTTTGAATTCTGTTGACATTGTATGCAGTAGGTTTAAGCTTGCTCTGTAAATTATGTATATAAGCTACATGCTTGCCTCTACTTGACACATGTAAACATTCTACCAACTTCATTTTTTTTTTTTTGCTTGTAACTGGAAAAGTACTTTAAAAATCGCAGTTAGCAATGTTTTTTGTATGTTATTTTTCCGTTACCCTGTTACCCTGATGCTAATTGTCCAGCAACACCTCTCTATTATCTATTTTCTTCAATATATTTGCATCAAAACAACAACTCTGCTATCTGGTCTCTTTGATTTATGCTATGGACCTTGCTTCTGACTGCCAAAATAAAGTTAATTTGTTTTTAGAGACAAACATAAAGGGTTGTAACACATCATCCAGGTATCTGTGGCATATTGGAAATTTCATGTTACTCACATACTAAGTACTATATACTGCATTTGTTTAGGGTTTAGTTGAATAGTATGCCTTTTCAAATGCCGTACATAGTTTTATGAAAAGAGCTGGAGTCAGAGCTGGTTTAAGGGCCATTGCACTTCACCTTGCAGGCAGCAGAGGGCTCTAAAAAGGGCATGGGAAATTACAAACTGCCCCTTTAAAGCTTTTGGCAGATATGAGCCTTAAAAACCCCATATCCAACCCATACTGGGCCCCCATTCCTCTGTTGCACTTATGGTTGTCCACAGACCATTAACCACATCTCTGATTCTGGTATGTTGGAAAAGAAATCAGGCAAATCAGACACACTCAAGAGGCTCTCACACACTTACACACAGACACAGTGGGCCTCTTTTTCTTTTTAACAAAGCCTTAGTGGTTAGCACGTTTACCTCGCACCTCCAGGGTTGGGGGTTTGATTCCCACCTCCACCCTGTGTGTGTGTGGAGCTTGCATGCTCCCCCTGTGCCTCTGGGGTTTCCTCCGGGTACTCCGGTTTCCTCCCCAAGTCCAAAGTTATGCATTGTAGGCTGACTGGCATCTCTAAATTGTGTCTGATTGTGCCCTGCAATGGTTTGGCACCCCATCCACGGTGTCCCCCATCTTGGATGGATAGGATGTAACAGAACTTTTCAGAGTTTTGAATAATTCTTTTTCTTCTTCTTCTTCTTCTTCTTATTATTATTATTATTTCTGTAGGCTATATTCTATTTTATTTCTGAATTATTTCTGCTGCCTTATATTCTCTCAAATATACAGAAACAGAATTACATAGATTATAAGACCATTTTTTTCTCTAGAGAATAACTGTATCATAATAAATTACCATAAGTTGATTTATGCTTCAGCAGCATCCCATGATTCAGCAGTCTGAACAGACCCAGACACAACACATCTAATTACAGAGATCAGTGTTTCTGTGTTTTTAAATTATAAACACTTAAACAGTCACAGTTAAAATTGTTCTCCAGGTCTGGACTTCTATTAGATCATTTTTTTGGAAAGCTCAGGCACAAGGCACAACTGCTCAGTAGCAATCAGTCAAAAGTGGTAATTAACCAAATTAGAGCACTGTAATGATGCAAATGGAATAATCTCATGAACACAAAAGCCAGGGACAGGAACAGCTCCATGGCAACGTGAGACAAAGGAAATGCGCAGGATGCAGAAAATACATTTAGTGAGCAATAAGGTGAGGGCTGACTCACAGACGCTACACTTTTAAAAGCTGGTCAACACACAAATACACACAGAGTGACTCAGCTCTTCAGCTCCCAGGTGAGTGCGGTCAGTAATGACTATGCGTGGCTATGACTGCAAGACACAGCAGGAACAAAGTAATCAAACAGAGACTGGGCAGGACAGTGATTAAAACAATTTACACTGTCAATTGCAATAAGAAAAAAAAATTACATGCACCAAAAAAACTGCACAGCTCTTTTAGGCAGATCTTAAATATAACTATTTACATATACTTTTAGAAAGATGTAGCCTTCAGTGGTTCTTTGGATAGATAAGGGTTCTTAGTGTTAAACCAGTTAAAAGTTTAAAGCTAAAATGCATTAGATTAAACTATGTAATGAATTTCATATTTAATCTTTTCTTTTCTTTTTTTTTTTTATTTATAATTTTTTGGTATTTTGACCAATTCCCTTAAGTATCTGTAACTATAGAGCAAATAGGAAGCCTGTACAGTAATGTCATTATGTGATAATACATTCTACACCAAGGAACAGATCAGATATTCTGCAAATGGACCACTTATCTTGTGCATAATCTATTCCTCTACATCTGTAGGTTACTCTTAAATCAGATCTTAAATCTTGACTCTGCCTTTCTTAGATGTTCTTTAACATCTGTCTAAATGCACAGATTTTGTCTTTATAAACACTGGAGATAGCTAACGTCAAACTAGTCAAATCTTCGTCTTTCAGCTGCTCCCATTAGGGGTTGCCACAGCGGATCACTCGTCTCCAATATGGAAATCCCATTTATGACCACATATTTGATTTGGCACAGGTTTTACACCAGATGCCCTTCCTGATGCAACCCTCCCATTTTATCCAGGTTTGGGACTAACACTGCAAGTGCACTACCTTATGCTATCCCAGTGGCTGGGTTTTGGTGCCCAGAATGGGGCTCAAACCCACAATCCTGAGATTTAGAGTCTCATACGCCCCCAACTGAGCTAGCCATGCACCAATGTCATACTAGTCAAAGAGTGAACAAATAAAACATGCAATTAAAACAAAGAATTACTTTTAGACTTTAAGATTAATTGTCCACTCTTTACCCACTAACTAAAGTTGGGCATAGGATGGCATAGCACAGGCTTATATTGGTAAACCAGTAGCAAATGAAAAAAGCTACAGTGTATTTTGATACCATGCACAATTCAGCATCAGTATTGGTAGAACTCGATAATGTGCAAACTGAAGTGTAATTCTTTTGAAGAAAAAGAGAGTGGTCATTAAAACTGAAAGAGCATTGCATGTGAATGAACCCATTTACACAGGGACATAGTCACAATACAACCACTTGGCTCAAACAGCAGAAAGTATCAAGCAAAAGCCATTTACATAGTAGTTCATTCATTAAACATCATATAAGGAATCTTTTGTCTATTCTGTGTATCATGTTTTGCTGTCAGTGTTGGCACAATTCAGCTGGAATAAGCTCTTTGTTTTCTGAATTCTTTGGATTCACCACCCACATCCTGTCGTCCACTACAGGAATGTGGTCTGTTAGAACGACCTTCTTCAAACGTGACATTTTTACTCCTGACGAGCCCCAACAATCTAATCAAAGCTGATCTCGCACTTTAAAATAACTTATTAAATTATTCTCAAATCTGATTGGTCAGGAGGTTTTTTATTAATTTTGTATAACAGCATTCTTGATAATAACCAAAGCAAATCCCAGGTTTATGTTAATGAATGTACTCATTCTAATACGTTCTTGTTTCTATAATAACGACTTATACAAGAACTTATATGGGAAATAATCCACATATGATTTAAATTATTTATATATGTTGATATGGTGATGTTTTCTGTGAGGAGCTGTTTATTTAGCATTTTTGGAAGGAGTCTCCAGTGTCAGCCCTTTGTAACAGTCAGAAGTAATGCTATAACTTTGGGTTTTCCACCATGGGAAAGTCTGCTGTGTGGAGGGCTTTGCATTTCCTCTGTACCACGACAAACTAAATTTTTTGTCTTATTAACTTCAAAGAGAGAAAAAAGAATGGCTTGTGAGGGAACCACTGTTTGTAGCTGCCATAATGTAAATGATAACAGGAAAAAACTTGTTTTGTGGTTGTTCCAAAACAACTGTAATTATCAATGGATAAAGTGCACACACGTCATTCTGTAATAAGTCAAAATAATATAAAAACATTGGCAAATTGTTGAGTTATAAGGACCAGCTAACCATACAGGTATAGTTGTGGTTCGCCAGGCATCTGCAAATTGTTTTAAAGGCTGGTCTGCTAAATTATTATGCAGTGTATCTAAGGTGTCAAGGGTGTATCTAATCCTAATTTCTATATTTTATACATTTTATTAAAATATTTGTACTGATACATGGGGCATTCAGATAAATTTGTCTATATACAGCATATGTGATATTTAGATGTTGAGATGGAATCAGATTTTTGGGTTTCATACATATTAACTTTTTATGCCTTTATGTAAACTATAAACAAATAAATGTGAGTATAAGCAAGTTAAAGAACATGAAAGAATGTTGTTTTACTCATACACACCCTTGTTATCTAGTTCTGTTTTAGTTATCTCACCTCAAAAATCTCAGGAATGTGTGAAATGTGCATAAAAACACACTCAGAGGAAAAAGAGTAGGCTGACCATTCATCAACAGCTTTGGTTATGAAACATATCTGCTACCTAGATTAAATGGGTTAAGGTACTATTAAACCATTGAAAATGTGCAAAATGTTCAAGATATACACTTGCAAACACCATAAATTCAACACCAGAAATAAAAAAAAATTTATGCAGATAAACGCAGCTCTAGTTTGCATGAGTGTATAAGGTTGCTGTGGAAAATCTGATTTTTTCCCTTGGTAGTGAAAGCTTCTGGACGTGACCCAGGATGCAACGCTTCTTCTTCTGCCCGGCCTCATGAGGTTTCCTCCCTGTTATTATATTCCTTCACACCGCACCGCCTGGCAGAGCCAGGACCAGGGCTAAGTGGAGCGCTCTATAATTTAACTTCTGACAGAGCTCAGTGGAACTTAGAGAGAAGAAATAAACCAAGCAGGATGAAAATCAAATGCTTTGGGCTGTTTGAGCATATGATGAAAAACTGTGCACAGTTGCAGAAGCTGAAGAGGAGCATTGGCATTATAAATATAAATATTGTGGGTTTAAAATTTTAGAGTTATGGCTGTTCTGCCATCCAGAAAGTACAATTTGTGCTTTTTTATTTTAATGACTCACTTGTGTGTAAAGGTTTTATTAGCAGTTTCCTTTACTGGCTCTGAAATGTATTCATTCATGAAGAAAAACACCTTGAGGAATAACTGCATGCCAAACTGACCCAAAGCCAAGAGAAACAATGAAAACAATAACTTCACAATGCACAACTTGGTGAACAATATCAGACAATAGTAGGGGCATGGGAGTCCCTTTTTAAGGGGAATTTGAAGGAAACTGTATTCAAAGGATCCCCCAGAGAGGCATTTGTACACAGTGGTGGCTCAGTGGTTAAGATTGTAAGCTAGTGGTCAGAAGATTGTGAGATCAAACCCACGGACTGCCACAGAGCTCCTGCTTGATCAAGACAGTAAACTATTAACTGATTAGCTGTGTGCCAGGATTGTATTCTGTCTTAACTGTACGTTTTATAATTATCAGCAAGAACTTTCCATACTTTGTCATTATACTTTAAGCTAAGGAGTGTACTCCAGGCAGACTTTAATAGAATTTCAGACCTGCAATTTACGACCACTTAACCCTGTGACCCCAGCCATCTTACACCACCATCAGCAGAGTTGCGAAGTAACAAAGTGCAATTATTTTCTTACTGTACTTAAAGGACACCTATGCCCTGAAACACAGTCTACATGTTTATATTGAAATATTTGTAACGTGTTTAGTGATCGTTCTGGTGCTAATTTTTTGGATGGTGCAGCATTTTCATTACTCTTGTGAGAGGTTAGTGGTCACAGGGGGATATTGCTAGAGCTGTTACAATGGTGTTTAATAGAAGACAAACTTTCAACTTTCTCAAACATTGTGATAACAGTCGGGTTTTACTGTTAGCTCCTAAAGACAAGAGAGAAAGAGCTTATTTTCTCACTCAACATTTTCCAGTGAAGATTGGTGTCATATTAATGAGAAATCTAATGTAGGATTAGTGGAGACAGCAAACACTGGACTTAAAGTACCAGAATGAAATGCAGCTATACAGTGCAGTTGCTCTGAGTTAAGACAGAGACTTGGATAGTTAGCAATGGATGAGATGATGAGCACAAAGGCATAGACAGTGATATTACTATGAGCAGTGTGTAAAGGAGTGTCAGGAGATGAGTTTAAAGAGCTAAAGGGCTAAAAGGGACTAAAGCACTGCTGCATTGCTCACAGTACTGGCAGATATAAAACAAGGGCTAAATCACATTTGAGCCACTATCAGCAGGCAGTCAAACTGTGAACCCTATTAACCAATGTAAAAATAGATCAACATGTCAGTGAAAGAAGTTTAAACCAAAAAAAAAGTCATGTAATTTAATTACAAAATACATTTTAGACCCATTGAAAATTATTTGTTACTTATAACGATTAATATACAATTCATTTAGGGTGGATTTTTCCTTTAATCTAAGATTGTGCTGTACTTTACCTGAGTTTTTCTTTCAGGCAAAACTTTTGCCTTTCACTCCCTACATTTCAAAACCCAAATCACAATTTTCTATTCACTACTCGCTTTTCTCTATAATCATATATTTGTAGTCATTAGGCATTTAGCATCAGATAGCTTTAAGAAGTTGGTCTAAATTATTAACAAATCTAAAATCTTATAAATGTGACAGCAAGAACGAGACCTAACACCTATTACTGTAATCTATCTACTAAGTACACTTTGTAACTCTTAGTAATAATAATACATTTTATTTATAAAGCACTTAGTATTCAACTCTTTTGTGTTGTCAGAGTTATTATCATAATAGCTAATTTTTTTTTAGGAATAAAGTTGCTGTTCCTAACATTTTCCCATGTTCCATGGTTCCTTGGTGTAAATGGCATTAATTTACCATCAGTAACTAAAAGAATTTGGGCACTTTTACCACCTCTGGAAGTGAGTGCTCTGGGCCGTTGGCATACCAGGAAGGCAGAGTTCTAAAGGACCAGTAGTGGTTTAGTGATTAAGGCTCCGGGTCTTGTGAGGTTGTGAAAGCTTCTTCCTGTTCTGAAGCATTTATTGTCAGACGAGTTGAAGAGGTCAGCTGCCACAAAGCATACTTACTCAGCTCTGGAGACCATTAAACCTCCCACACCCAAAAATTAGAGCACAAACAGCAGCTTACCTGAAAATAGAAGAAAATAAAAGAATAAAAATGTTAGCTGCATTTTTTTTGGCACATATTTCACAGTTTTATTTTTTTTTAAAACCTGGGTGGAGGTGGTAGTGTAAGTGATAGAAAACAGACTATTTTCCAGTTTAACAGGAAAATCAGTTAAAGACACAAGACTGTCCCAAATCAGCTGCCTATTAAAACAGGGAGGGACAAAAAGAAAACAGAACACAATGGATGTAAGGAAATGGCATTGGGGCAGAGTGAGAGGGATGTTTGGGTAGCAGTAGTATATTTTCTAACACGTAACTCTTGATTAGATATTGTAATGTCCTGTTGTAATGTCTGTGATGCTGTGAAGCTGTGTACTGTTGTGGCAGTGCCACCTGCTGGGAATTTAAATAAGGAAGTATAAACCCAAGTGTTGGACCATTTGTACAATATATATATGAAAATGGTGGATGGAAACTATATATATAATCCATAATTTTTAGATGTGTTTTTGGCTCTGGTAGGTTGTACCACAGTCATCTGGGTGTCCTACTCAGAACTGTGAAAAAAAAAAAGTTCGTTCTGGATAAGGGGTTAGTTCTGTTTGGTTCTGTGATTTTATATGTGTTTGCCTGCAACTTGTGTTAGAATAGTTTGACCAAACATACTAATACA